AAGCCAGCTGGACACTGGAAGAGTTTATGTTGTGAATTCATGAAAAGTCATGAAAGAGATGTTGGTCTGAACACAGGGTAGGAGACTACTTTGGAAGTACCTTTTTCAGAGCCATGTTAATGCACATCACAGCTGACCCACTGGGTCCATGTTTAAATTAGACATTTTGATATAGAACAGATTAATTCAAACTTTCTACAGTGGCTCAGACCACCTGCCTTAAATCCATCCACTTCCCTGACTTTATGAAAGTTGCCATAATGACTATTGGAGTCTGTTTCCACATCTGGCACATTGACTCTTCAGGAGGACAGGCCAAAGTAGATTAAATAAAACCATTCTGGGAATCTACCATAAACCTATAAAACTCTTCTGGTATCTTACTCTATACTTTTGTGAGCCTAAAGCTCAAACAATCTAAACTTCTGTAAATCCAAGTACATACAATGACTGAACAACTCTGATTTAAAAGGCAAGCTAGGATAAACAGATTCAGCTCTTATCTCACACAGTTCTTCACACATTAAATACATATTGTTGTAGTAATGAAATTATTTACTGGCACTCTTGACATCCTGCCAATAATAATATGGTGATGGTAAAAACACACACTACTTTGAAAGCTCTGATAATGCTTTCTGAATAGACAGTAAGATGCCTTTGCATTGCTACCCTATCATTACTTAGTGGCAAACTAGGGATCCCGAGCAGCAATTTCTCTCACTTCCACACCACAGAAGTATCACAGATGGGACATATTTAAGATTTCCTGGCCTCTCATTTCCCTATGTTACAAGCTCTACCTTGTACCTGCCTCTGGCGCTTTTCATAATAGATACCTCAAGAGAGCAAAGGAAGGAAAGGAGTGAAAAAAAACCTCAACCAGGCTTACTTGGAGCCTCCGCCGAGACCGTGTACTCATTCTCCATTTTGGCCAGTACACGCACAGATGACGCATTCTCTGGAGAGAACTCGACTTCGGTTTTCACTTTGCCATCTAGTTTGCATTTCATGATAATATAAACTGTTGTCTGCACCTAAAAGCAAAGGCATTAGTTTACAATGAAAGAATGTTTACTTTGTTGAAGTCCCATTTCCAAGGATTTTGCTACCACTGCAATTACCACATAAATCATCATCAATTATCTCCATGATCCTGAGTAGTTTTCAGGAGCTTCTCTCAGCTCTCCTATTAACTACTCCAAATTACATAAATGGTTTCTTGTTACAAGCTTGTGCGGGCATAGGCATTAAGTTGACAAATTCTGTAACAGCAGGAACTATCCAACTAGTCAATTATTTTGAACATTGAGCTCATAGAACACAGTCTCATTCCAAACAGGAAAAACAAACAAACAAACAACAACAAAAAAAAAGCAGAGACAGAAAGAAGGAACTTTGAGTTCAAATAAGCATATTTCTGGGCCACTTTTTGTGGTACCCATCTGTACTGCAAGTGTCTTACTGCTCAGCTCTCATCTGCCAGGGTTTTCAGTATCACCAAGACCTGGGCTGTGACTGCTCACACAGCTCACTACACCAAATACTACAAACTAATCTGAGCAAAACCCTGAAGAGACTTTCATGCCCATAATCTTGTGCTGAACATAACAACCATTGCCTGGGCCAGTGGAAGCAGCACAGCAGCTGTAGATAACTCAAATGTTTCTGAATATCTTAGCATCTCCTCAGTGCAGGATCATCAACAGCTCTATCCTGAATTCTGGACTCCATTCCTAGACACTCCTTGCCATGCAGAAGTCAATATATTTATCTTCAAATTAAAACACTGACAATCCAAGACAGAACAGTTTTACTTATCTCACAGTCACTGCAAAGCATATTTTGTTAATATCTGTCAACTTACAGAACTGAAAAAATTCCACCAGCAAGGAAGTCAATATATCAAGATATGCAACCAATTCATGGAAATGGGCGAAGTCTCTCTTTTAAGCTAACAGTTTTGCCAGAGTTTGAGGCAATCCAGGAATTGGCTGACTTCTCCAGCAAACCTTTGCTGGGGTCAGGGGTTACACAGACCTGAAAGAGACAACACAGAGAGCTCAAGAAAGGATACTTCCCAAAATGGCAGTAACTTTCTTTCAGCCCTCCCTCCTCGCTGCTAGCACACTATTCCAATGCAAAAGCAGATTACATCCACGCTGTGAGGCACATATTCAGAAACTACCAAATAGCCCCACATGACAGAGCTGTGACTCCAGGCACAGACTGAAATGCAGGACACTCCTAGGATGCTGCAGAGCAGACACTGAAGCTGCACCATAAACCCATGTATCTGACTACAGAAATTGCAGAGTCATTTTTATCATGCTAAGCACCTGCCAAGGCAGAAGGAAAGCTCTAATGGCCATTTTCAGGCTTATTACTCTCTCTGCTGTCTCCCTGCAGCAGAATATATGCTACTTAATTCTAGACTAACTTAAGAGTATGGCCAATAGCATTCCAAAGATCCCTTTACAAAATCACAAGTGAGGCAGTATGTTGCTTTTGAATTTAAGCCTTCTTGTTTACCTCCTCCCCCCGCCCTTTTTTTTTTTTCAATTCAAGCTTCAGCGCAGCATGAAGATCACACTTTAAGTAAAAGCAGAGGTTTCCAGAATTATGTGATTCCTTTAGTTGGCACTTTAAGAAAAGTGCCACGGGAAATTTAAAATCTCATGAAGCAGCAAAACTGATATGAGTAGGGGAAAAATATCCAACATGACCCCAGCGTACTGGAACTTCAATCTGCCCCTGCCACAATCACATGAGAAGGAAAAAATGTAAAGCAGCCGTCACACTTCAGTGAACCTTTGTTGAACTGTTAACTTTAACATTTCCTGACTAGTTCCTCCCACACTAGCACTTCGCACCTCAAAACTGTGCAATGAAAATCCAAGCTACACTGACTGGAAAGTACACTGCAGAGGTGAGGCTAGCTGTGCCATATGCTTTTCTCCTTGCACATGGTATGACAGTTTTCTGTCTGAGGAGATGCTACACTAAGAAATGCTGTTTCTTGGACAGGAAGCCATAATCCAAGCTTTTTGCAAGCACTTGCATGACATGCAACAGAACTGTTGTATTAGACTGTGTTTAGTTTCTGGTGTTAACTGGTTCATTACAATCACTTTGCTTCACTTGCTGCTGCAAAATCTCACCAGGTGAGGATTCAAGAGTATGAACCTGCCTTACAGTACACAAGAGGAACAGTGAGGTTAATGAGACTGTCAAAAAAAAATGACACTGCAGCCTAGAAAACACTGGGCACTGCATGTCACCTAGCTGTTTACTCAGGTTAGAGTAGTCAGCTCATGAAATAGACACTGAAGAATGTGAGTAAAGGTAGCAGGAAGGGAATAAGGGATTACTGCCCATCTCAGTAATGCTGTGCATTAAAGATGTGCATAAGGTATTTCATCAGCTCACAAGAACACTATCAAGGAGCAGACATACAGTACCCCACAACGTATATGGTCAGGTTGCACCACTGGATGGTCCCCCACACTCTTGGATGACCCATGCTCTTCATTCATGGCAAGTGTGGAGGAGTAAGCTGGGTTCTTCTCGTCTTCTGCCTCTGTATCAGTCACAGAATCACAGCCCGAGTCTAAAATAAAGCATACAGAGTCTTGTGACATCACTCTCATTTGCAGAAAATGCATGAACACATCATACACATCCCAAGAAATAGCCTAGAGGAGAATATGGAGCAGGAGGGAACTTGCTGCACTTCTCAAAGTAATGCTCAGAAAAAGGGGAACTAGTTCGAAAGGGGAAACTACCAAATTTCCTTATTTATTCCCCTAAGGGGATTGCTGGGAAACATTTGCAAAGCCACAGAAGTGCTAGAGTAACACTGAATATGCTTATGCAACACAAAGTCACTCTGGTGAGATGGGCAGTCCCTTCCTCATAGGAGACAGGAAATGTAAGAATTATTGATCAGCAACTGGAGTCCAAGTCCTCCTCTCCTAGAATAAATTTCTTTAACTTTGGCAATGTCCTTAGTTTTCTGGGTCCTGTTTGAATTGCTTGCTGCATCTCCTGGGTTCACAGCTGTGTCTAGAAAGTAAAACTTCAGACAGTGCTCTGAAGGGAACCTGCACCTTAAAGCAAGAGCTGTAAATACTGAAAGAACTTAATGTAGCTATCACAGCTACAAAATTACTTTTCCTGAATAGCAAAAACAAAGGACAATTTGGTATCAATTTAGCAGACAGAAATTTTATCTAGTTTCTACCTCTTCATACCATTTTTCTCCTCTGCTAAAAAATAGGACAAAAGTCACTAACTAGAAATCTGACATGAATGCTTAAAACTGCTTCTCCCACAACCAAATTTTTCTATTTAAACTTCAGAAAATAGTGGAGCAGTCAAAGATTTAACACAATATTTTGGAAGTTACTTTTTATTTAATATTTATTTAATACTGTAAAACACATCTGTAAAGAGAGGTACAAATTATTCACTACATAAAATCTCAGATTTGGACTAGCAGAGGTTTTATATTAGTAAGAAGTTTTGTATTTAAAATACTTGGGCATAATGAACAAGACTTAAAAGACTTGCTAGCATCTGCACTATCTAATAGTGAAGAAGTAACATTCATATAGTGAAGATGACTACCAGGCCAGGCTTTCAACAAAATTATCTCAGCTACCAAGCACATCAAACTTTCACAAATCAAGAGAGCCAAAGTGATTAAAGTGGGCTTCCATTAGAAATTCAGGTTCTGCTAGTTTCAGGGAACTTAGAAATCAGTTAGGAATTTAAGTCTAAATATCTTCAGTATTATTACTAATAAAGATTTAAGCTTAGCATACTCAAAATCCTCTGGTTTTGTCATATTTATTTATTTCACATTTAAAGAGGATTTTTTTGGATTCCACCAATGGAGTGTTGTTTTCAGGAGACAGATTTGATGCCACATGTTTAGCAAATTATTCAGCTGAAGTGTTGAACTTTAAGCATGTGAATCACTCCGCATA